CTGCGATTTGCCTGCTCAGGTTCTGTCCCGGCGTCTCGCGGCCCCCTTTCCCGCTCTCAGCACGCTCTCCCCGCAGGCTAGTGTTGCGGTTTCCTTCTGCCTGCCGGAGGTTGACTTGGAGAGGCGAGGATCGTGGTGTCAGCTTTGGCGGTTCGTCCAAACGCCGGACATCCTGCTGGCACAGAATCAAATGGAGAATGATGAATGGAGGCGAAGTAATCACCATGTACCCTGAATCATTCTACTGAAGTAATTACAAGTAATTGTAGAGTGCCTCCCAAGGTTGTTGTATGGAAAGCCACGTGCCAATTGACCATTAGTGGCAAGACTAGACTGAAGTCCCAGTAAGGTCTAGGATACAATTGTGTGATCGATAACAGCTGTCGTCCACGACACTTAACATCTTCAAAATACTATCACTGATCAAATTTTTTGGCATGTGTTACGGTATCAGAAAGTTATGCTTGCTTTTAACTTGAATTTGCTTTTTAATAAATGCCGATTCATAGATTCAACTGTTCGACTCCACCAGCTGCTTCTTGGAAACCTATACAGGGACTCTAGGATTTGGAACCGACTCCATGGCGCTTAGCAACAATAAATAGAGACCTTGGACAGAAGAAATGTACTCGGTCACTGAATGCACTATATAAAGGCTAAATTATGACTCTTTTGGCGCTAGCATGTTTTGTTAGAATGCGATAGTCTTTCAAGCTAATGAGGAAAAAGATCATGTGGAAATGGGACCTGGTCAATGGCTACATCAAAGAAGAAAACAATATGTTAAGTTGGCAAAACTTGGAAGGACTGACAAATGTCCTGAGGATACAGGAAATCATTGTTAATGTTAAGGACAAAAAGTTTGATAAAGCTACTTTAGAGACATCCTTGACAAGGTTTAGCATAACTGCTTAACTCCTCCCACCACTTCATATTTCTACCTTACTTGAACAGGAAGAGTTCTCTTAAGTCTTTAACTCTAGAAAGTTATTTCTCATAAAGTGGATGCTAATGGCTTTTAACTACTTCCAAAAATGTCCCTTCCACTAAGTTATTTAAAACATTTTATTTACCAAGAAGGGTTACGCTTCCTCTTCCATTCTTCTTGCTTGGCAGGCCTTAGGTAGAAGTTATCACATCCCTGCTCTGAAGAAGCTCACAAGTATAACGGGGAGACACAGATAGACAAGTCCTCCTCTAGAATTCAGAGCAAATGAACAATACTAGGGACATGAACAATGAACCCTGGAACTGTAAAGAAGGAAATTTTGACTAGGGACAGCAAGAAAGGTGTTAAATGTAATCCCACTGAGCTGGATCTTGCTAATGCCTTGGAATTGTCTCCAACTTGTGGCAACTTTATGTACAACAGGATGAGACTGTGCTTGGTACTATACCATCTCCATTGTGATAATGTTTGACTTCATTGTTGCAGCTATTATGTTAAGCTGAGTCTTAAAGAGCAAGATCTGATTAGGTAGAAAAACCCTTAGAAAGGGAGAAAACGAACAATGACAAGGAATGGGAATGAACAAAGTTGTATTTGGTAAACAATGAAGAACTCAGACTCATTCTCACTGCCATTCTAATTCAAAGAAACCTTGTAGGACAGAGCAGAACTGCTCTAATTCTTTATAGAAGCGGACTCCCTCATCTTTCTCCATGGAGTAGCTGGTGGATTTGAGCCACCAAACTACACAATTAGTACTTAATAAGATACTGTTGTTAAGTGCCATCAAGTTGGTTCCAACTCATAGCAACCCTGTCTGTTTAGGGTTTCCAAGGGGCAGCTGGTGAGCTTGAACTGCTGATCTTGCAGCCCAGCACATTAACCCCAACGCAACACCAGGACTCTGAGATACAGAGTTGTTGTTGTTAAGTGCGTTGAGTCGATTCCAACTCACAGCAACACTGTATAGGGTTTCCAAGGAGCAGCTGCTGAGCTTGAACCAGCAGCAACACCTAACAACAAGGGAGGATAGGGCCAGTTTGTAAAGACCTTGAAATGCCATGCTAATTTTATTTTGTAGGTACTGCGGAGCAATGGAAAGCTTTTGAGCTAGGAAGTGGCACCATCAAAACTGTGCTTTAGAAAGATAATGGAAGTCAGAAATGAGATTGCACGTAATTAGAGACCAAAGGTCAAGTAAATAATTAGAAGATAATAGTAATCTAGCTGCCCTGGTGTGGCGCTGTGGGTAAGTGCACTGGCCTGCAAAGTTGATTTGAACTCCAAGGTCGGCAGTTCAAGCTCATCAGCTGTGCCTCAGAAACCCTATGCAGGGTCGTTATAGGTCGGAACCAACTCAACGGCACATAACCACAGTAATCTAGGTGAGAGAAAAGGGAGCTTGACTAGGACTGTGGTTCTGAGAGTTGGAAGAAAAAGAAATAAATCTGAACAAGATCAGGACAGTAGAGAACAAGTTAAAGCATTTCACGTGCATTTCTAGGTCTGCAAGGAAACAGAATCCATTCCTGACTGGAACACATTGTGTCTAGTACTGAAATAGTTCCAGTCTTGTGAAGTAGATAATACATAGGAAAACAGTGCGAGTGCATAAAGGGATGATGTAAAGCCAGGCATACTAAACAGTTTCACAAAGTCACCACAGGGAGTAAGCGGAGGGGTGGACTTTTGTTCGCTAGGAATGATTCTATGATCAGCTGGCTTTTGAAAATGAAGAGCAACTAAATTTGTAAAGAGAAAGCAGGAACAGCCAAGAAAGGGAGTTTATACATGCCTTTCTGTCAGAATAATAATGTCTTTACAAGGAAATTACTCAGATCTAGCTAAGGAGAGTCTAGATACTATTTAGTCCAAAGATAGCAGAGAAAGAGGGAAGTCAGTAAAACAAAGTATAACCCAAGGCTAAATTGTGACTCCTTTGCCAGTAGTTTATTTTGTTAGAATGCAATATTCTTTGAAATTAATGGGGGGGGGTAGATAATAGGAAAATGGAATCTGGCCCATCGTGACCCTAAAGAAGAAAAATCACATAAATTGATGAAACTCAAAGGGCCTGACACCAGTCCTGGACAAGGTTTTAGCTATAAATCAAAGAATGATGATGAGCTTTTTTTTTTTTATAAAAACCAGCTGGAACCCTAGTGGGTGTCAAAGAGAAGAAAAAGAAGGTTCTTGATGTGCCAAAGACCCTTAAGAAAAAGCAAAGACATTTCAGAGAACTCTAAAGATCAAGTGCCTGAGAAAGAAATTTGCCCCAAAGATGCTTCAAATGACAAGGAGAAAGTTTACCTATGAAAAAGCCAAGGAGTATCACAAAGAATATAGGCAGATGTATAGAAATGACATTTGAATAGCTAGGATGGCAAGAAAAACTGGCAACTTTTCTGTACCTGGAGAAAAAGGTTGACATTTGTTATGAAGATCAGAGGTATCAACCCAAGCTAGCATATGTATCAGGATCAGAGGTGTGTTTAAAGGTGTTGTGGTTTCTTTGCCTTCCTAAGATCTTCAATGACACCTTTGTTAAGCTCAGCAAGCCTTCAGCTAACATATGATTGTGGAACCATATTGGGGTACCCAAACCTAAAGTCACTGAATGAACTGATCTACAAGCAAATTGCCCCGACAGACTGCACGACTTCTTGGTAAATAAATGGCATCATCTACATGGAGGATCTGTTTCATGAGATCTATATTGTTGGGAAATGTTTCAAAAAAAGCAAATAACTTCCTATGACTCTTCAAATGACCTTTTCCACGTGGTAGTATGAAGATAAAAGACCACCCGCTTTGTAGAAGACAGAGATGCTGGCAACAGGGAAGACCAGACCAACAGGTTTATTAGAAGGCTAAACTAAGATGTCTATCAAGATTCTTTTTGTAATCTAGTCAGCTAAGAAACAGTAACTGCTTTCTAATTGAAAAGAAAAAGAATAATGATTAAAGTAGTGGCTCTGGTGCGTTCTATTTACTTTCATTCTGAAGTTTTTATCATAGAATAGCTTACAACTTAATAGAAATTTTAAATCCTTGCCACAGAATATAATTCTGTCCTCTGATTGAAATATCAACTTTCTGTGGCAAGCATTTTTGTAACAAAGCATTAACAGAAAGAAAAGAATACCTTGCCTGCAAAGTGAAATAAGAACATCCTACAACAAATATAAGAACTACATTTTCATCCTTGTGCGCTATAGGATAAGCACTGGGCTGAGAACCACAAGGTTGGTGATTCAATCCTGTAAAGAATTGCTATGAGTCAGAGTCAACTTGATGCACTTAACAACCTTCTTGAGCTAGATGTAAAGGCAAAATATTGCTGTAATTTGTAATGGAACTTTCAGAAAAGTAGTAGGGAAGTAAAATAGATAGTCTTAACTTGAATATTTCCCTTTGACAAGGGAATATTTGACAAAATAATTTAAATTAAGTTTCAATTTCATATTGAATCATTGATCAATGGATTTAATATGAATATCTTTAGAAATACCTTTTCTAAATAATTTATGTGAAGTTCAAGAACTGTGTTACCTAAGAGAATTAAAATATTCATTTTAAACGGAATATTCATTGTTGGTAACTTCCATTGAATCAGTTCCCAC